TCAATTAGATTTAAAAAAGTTTTTACGACGTTGGTTTTTACATTTTGCAAAAGCGGAGGATTAAACCAAATAATGTTTTGTGATCTTGATTTTGGTATTTTCTAACAGGTTGAAGGTAACATCAAGAAAGTTTACAATTTTTAAGTTGGTTTTGATAGTAAGTTTTTAGATTAAATTTCTCCTTAAAAAGGTGAACAATGTTTTTCTTTATTCTCTCGGATTGCAGTCCATTAAATCCATGAAAACAACAAAGTCCATCATCTCTATATAATCCAACGGTTTTCAACCCATAGTCTTGACTTAAAGTATGTAAAATAAAGAGTCCAACTAACTCATACACCTCAGTCCCATCGTAACTTCCCATAGTGACGTCAAAATTAGGATCACCAAGTTTTTTGACCCAGATACTATTGTGTTCAGTAAACAGTAATGATTTTCTTGAGTGATTGATTTTTTGAGTGATTTTCTTGAGTGATTGATATTTGTTATCTGCAACTTTAACGTCATCTAAGCAAACACTATATTGTATTTTTGTAAATAATTGTTGTTGATGTAATGATTTGTAAGTCTGATGATCGCATATAGCGTGAAACTCTGAGTTATGTTATAAACCTAATTTTATTATTATTTTAATATAATATATATTTGCTCTACTTTTGTATTGAACACTCTTTACCAAAATATTACTTATATTACAGATATATATATATATATATATATATATATATATATATATATATATATATATATATATATATATATATATATATATATATATATATACACAGAGGTGTGAAAATATTAAGACATTTGTCAAAAAAGTGAGTTTTTCTAATATTTCTTATAAAGACACACAATGTCATAAAATGAGCCTAGTTCAGTATTTTGTGGATGCTCCTCTAGCTGCAATAAGTTTTTCAACCCTTTAAGGCATCCCATCAATCAGTCTTGGACACATGTCTTGTATTTCTGGATTATGTGTCCTAACCTCTATGAGCGCCTCAATGTAAATTTTGTTGTTGGCTTTCTGTTGGCAATTCTCTTTTTGACTATCATCTACAAGTTTTCAATCGAACTCATCATATGTTGATGTATTGATGTTGATTCATTCTGCCTTCCACAATTCTAAGAGGTCCTACACCATGAGAACTTATCATCAACCATACCATTACTGAGCTAGAATGCTTGACAGTCTTCACTAGACATTGCGAATGAAATTCTTCCCCCAGAACGACGGCGCACATAATGACATTTATCGTCAAGTATCTTTAACATAGACTCGTCACTGAAGCAAACCTAAAAATACAAACACACTTTTAAAGCCTTGAGCATATATTAGGTTAATATCCTGTAATCACTGGTTACATGTTTACTTCATTTTGCATTCATGTAATAATCATAACCATTGCTACAATGTTCGATACCTATGGACATAAAGCAATTGCACTAGCGGGTAAAGTATGATATTAAACATCATTATTATATGAAAAAATATGTTATATTTTGCTTCAACTTATAGTACATGATTGTAAGTTCTTATATATATAATGGTAAAGAATACAATAACTTTCTGCATTGTTCTGTGGTCCAATCTTTGTGACCCATGTCCCACTGCAGCCGTCGCAATTATTGAGCATTGGTCTTGGAGAGGACGTAAAACCAAAGTTCAATTGTTTCTTGATGGTAAAAACTGCTGTTTTACTAATCCACATTTCTTGGAAAATCCCATGATAGTGATATACATGAAGTTTTTAATATTTCCATCATTTATTTAAAAACTAAAGCAAAATTTTCTAGATTTTTTTGGCTAATTATTCTTCAATGTCATCATATGAGAGTATTCTGGTCACCTCCCCTTTTAATACACATCAA